TAAAAAGCAGCAAATATTAAAATTCAAATAGGTGATATACAAAAGAAAATTCGATATTTATTTTTTTAAAAAAAAAAGAAACAGTATTTATATATTTTTTTATTTATAAAAAAATAAAAATAATAAAAATAATAAATAAAATAAAAATAAAAAAATAAAAAATAAAAATAAAAAAAATAAAATAAAAATAAAAATAAAAGAAAATTATGCTACTACGTCTAATTCATTTACATTTTTAATAATTATATTATACATTTTTTGGTCATCAGATTCTGCTAATTTTTCAATTATGCAATTATTTGTCTCATTAAATATGGAGAAAATTTTTCACTAAAGTAATAATTGTAAAAACATTTTTTTGAATTTCAAGATTAATTTTTCTTTTTTCTTCTTCACTTTTTCTTAAATTTCTTTTATAATCATCACATTCTTTAGTAATTTTTTCTAATTCTTTTTTAATTTAATCATAATTGCTATGATTAGTAATATATATATTATATAAAGTTTTATACCTTTCATTTTCATCTTTAGCTTTATCATAAAGATCTTTCCAAGTTTTTGCTTCTAGTTTATATCTTTTTTTATCTTTCTTCAAACTTTCTATTTCTATTTCTTTTGTTGCAAATATTTTTTGTAATTTTTTAATTTTTTCTTTATCATTATCATTTTCTATTTTTAAATTATTAAATATTGTTTTCCATTTTTCTTTTTCTTTTTTAATTCAACATTTTGTTCTTTTAATATTTTATTTTTTTTCTTTTTGGCATTAGCGATTTTTTTTGCTTCTTTTTTTTGGCTATTAAATAAATATTAATAAAATTATAAAATAACAATTAAATAATTAAATAATTACTTGTTAGTTCTTTTTTTAATTTTTTAATTTTTTTAAAAAATTCTTGTTTTTGTTTTTTAAGTTTTTCTAGTTGAATTTTATTATTTTTAATTTGTTTTTTTAATTTTGCTCGCTCTTTAACTGTTTTTGCATTATAAAGTTTTCATCTTAAAGATATAATATTATTTAAATAAGTAGTACATTGAACATAATAATAATTATATGTAAACAATATTTTTAAATCTTTAAAAATAAAAATTTATTAATTTATTAATAAAATTTTTTTTTAAAAAAAATACATAAAACAAATAATATATACTTAAAAAAAAAATTGATTTTTTTTAAAAAAAAAAAAACAATAAAACAAAATAAATATATTTAAATAAAAAACTAAATAATAAATTTTGCAATTATTTTTGCATGATCTCTTCTTTTTAAACTTCTAGTAGCAACAGTTTTTGAGGCTTTTACATTTGCACTTTTAGCTTTATGCATCGCTTCGTATATATTTCTATAGTGTACAAAAATACTATCCTTATAATTATTTGTAATTTGATCATTTTTATTAAGAATTAATCTGTAATCTCCAGTTTTAAAATCCTAGGTATATAATTTTGGAAGTCTAACTGTGACTATAGGATTACCATTTGCAGCAAATATTCGAAGTAGTAGTAAAAATAAAATTAAAATAAAGATATATTTTATTTTTAATGATCACCAATCTTAATACCACTAACGAGTGTTTGAATTTTTATTTATAAAGAAAATTTATATTTAATTTGTTTAATTTTAATTTCAAAATTTGTTTAATTATTGTTCCTTTTATATTAAAAATAATAAATAATTAATTAAGATTTTGGCATAACTTTTAAATAATCGTGTAACTTAATTTATTTATATATAAATAACATAAAAATAAAATTTCTCAAAGTAATCTTTTTCAAATATATTTGCTTGTAAGTGTTTTTTTGTTTTTAAGAACATTCTTTTTTTTTTGGTCGCTAATTTTTTTTAATTGTAGTATTATTTGATAACTTTTTCTGTCTCTATAGAGGCTCAAATAAGGCTTGCATTATATCTCTAT